CAGTATAGGCTTTTCCCATTTAACTTGCCCTTACAAAAAACCAGTATCTGCTCCTCACCTTGCAGCCTCAGATGCTCAGGGAAGCTGTTAGATCAGAATACCTAAGGCAAATTATTTGTCTTTCAGCACACATTCAATTTGGATCATCTCCTCATTCCCTTCAGTCTTCTTTCTGAATGTGTATTTTGAGGTTGTTCAGTGATTTATCTGAAAAAATTATTCCCAATATCCTTCCAGAGAGTGTACACATCACTTCTCTACTATTTGAAGTCTGTGCCAGAAAAAATGTCGCAGAATCACTTTCTGCTGACTTGAGGAACCCATAAGAAAAAAGTGTCTCTGCTACATCTCAACAGAAGCTTGCTTTATGTTTTCTACAGAACATGGGAAAAATAAGACAAGAAGGTCTATCATACCAAAGTATCTTTACCTCAATTCAAATACAAAGAAGGTACCTCTGCAATTTGTCAGAAAATACTTCCATTGTCATATCCTCTTTCATTTTTATTAATGGCGTGATTCTACAGGAGGAAAAAGCTAATTTTGTCCACAAACCCTCACAACATAAAAAAATTTAATTTTTTAATGAAGTCAAAGATATATAGACACAATATAAGATCAGCATTGATGGTATTAAAAATATCCAAATAATAAATTAATTATTTGTGGATAGTGCTAAGAAATGCTAGAGCTTTCCAACACCTGCTTCACTCTGCAGTTGCATTCAATTTTCTTTCTCAAACTTTCATTAAAAATGTATGAGGTCATTTAAAATTGGAGTCCTCTCAGCACCTTCTAAGATTAGATCTTTAGAGGCAATAAAGCAAGTATAATCTGAATTCCCGGATCACATTAATTGGCCATTATGCCTTTTTTTAAACAGTGCCAAGCTTATACAGTAACTACCATCTGATAAGCAAATTGTAACAGTGCAGCCTACCAGGAAAGAAAAGAAAAACTCATTATTTTTTAATGAGAATCAAAATAAATGCTTACAGCACAGACGGTTATGGGGAGTTCCTTGGCATATATTTGGAATGTGTAATCACAAAACAGTGTAGTCAGGTATGTGTCATACAGCTCACCCCAAATGACTGAAAAATCCTATGTATTTGTTTAGTACTCCATACTCTGAGTAATATGGGAAATTCTCACTGAAGTATTTCCAGCTTCCTAGACTTCCCTTATGCAATCCAGTGTGAGTCACACAGTGTGGGAGCAAGAGTCACATCCTCTTCTCCAATCCAGATGCTGGCAGGACTCAGCCTTTAGGAATAAAGCTGGGCTTGCAAGATATTTGGGCTGTACTTCTTAAACTGTATGATCCTACATTATTTTCAAGATGGCACACTAATTCCTCATCTCCTCAAATAAGGATTTGCAGAAGACAAGATTCATGCTCTTTCTTGAGCAGGGCTTGCAGCCACACCATGGCAGATGTGGAGTGGCAGCAGGGCCATGGGCTGGGGGTAAGGATGGTCCCTCCCACCCAAGAGACTCCAAATTGTCCATGGCTGAGAGGTGTGGGGGTGTCCTGCCTAACCCACTGCACAGGCACCAGTACAGGACACTGAGCTGCAGCACACACCAGCCTGCCTTTCTGTGCTTCTGCTTGAAAAGCAGGGCTTGAAAAGCATAGCTGTGCAATTCTCAGGGAGCAAAGCAGTAGAGGAAGACACTAAGAAGATGAATTGTGAGCAGAGATTATCTCATCTGGTGTCCAGTTGATTTTGTAATGAGAAAAATAGGCTTTTGTCCATTTCTTGTTAGTAAACAAGTCTGTGACAAAGACTTGTATGTCCCATCAATAATTAAATGTTTTTTTTTTTTTGTTGTAAAAAAATCTTTAGTGCCTTAAATTCATATAAAAAGGAAATTACCACACACACCTGCCTTTTGGAACTGCTATATATAATGTTTTATTTTTATGACTTGTATAATACCACTTTGGAAAGTATTGGCTATATGCCAAGGGAAAGCTGATTTATGTTTTACAGCTCTACTTTGATTTGACCAAGATACAGGTTTATTAGAGTCCCATCTACTGCAGCTAGGGCAGAAAACTCTGATGGACAAAACACAGCTGAACTCAGCTGATTTTTTTATGGGCTGTTAATAGTGTACTTGGGCACCCAAATTCTGCCAAGTAATTTTGTCCTCTTCAATTGAACTGCCTCACTAATCAGTTTTGAAGTGTAGAAACTCCTGACCTCCTTTCATATTAAAAAAAAAAAGAAAAAAAGATGGAGCTTGATTATATGAAAAGAAATTAGACTAAAAATGCACTAATTCTTGCTTCTAATGAACGTGAATATCTGAAGCTGCCATGGTAGACTTCTATCAGAAATTGAGGAGGCATTATTAAGCAGTTACAAAATGAGTGAGATGCTTCCAAACTGAACCTCAGTACAAGATACTTGGGGCCCTTAAAAAAGGTCAGAAAAGTTAAATTTGGCAAAGTTACTTTTAAAATATAGAAATAGATAACTTTTTTATGTATGAAAGATAAATCTAAAAAAAACAAATGCCTCACCACACCTAAATTTATTACTTTAGCTGAGCCCTGGGTTTCAGGACTGATGTAAGTTTATGAAAACTGTTGAATGCTGTATTCATCAGACAACGTATTTAATCATTAGGGTCAGTGTTCCTGTTTTCCCTGCTGTGCCAGAACTGCAAAATTATTTTAAGTTAGTGATCTTTGAAACAGAAGTTTTGGACCTACATACTGCTCAAAATGCAGGAAGGCTGGACTGCTTACTCAGTTTCTCTAACACTGATGAGACAGGGCTCCTTCAGGAACATCTGACTGATACGCAAGGTGAGGATTTACTCCTTAATGCACAAAATACCATTACATTAAAAAAATTGTCCTTTTGGGGGAAGAATTTGAACAATTGCTACTGCACATGGGTGGCAACTACAATTTTCATAGCTGTCCACAAGTAGAGCAGACTTTGATTGTTGCAGATGTTGGACCTCTTATATGGTTTTCCTATTACTTCTGTTGAAATTTAAACCAAAACTGTTGCACCAGAGGCTACAGAATTGTAACTAAATGAACAGACACTGCTGTCTTTGCCACGTTAGTTAAACTGCAGTGGATCCCATTAACTCACATGCTCACAAGATTCTGTAACACCTACAAGAGTCACAGTCTTGCAAGAGAGGAAATGTCGGTGCCAGGGGGAGCAGACAGGACTGAAAACCTCCCGCACTCCAGCAGACCATCTCTGCTGCTCTGGGGAGCACTGAGCAGCACTGAGGGAAGAACTCAAACAGGGCTTGTTTCATCATCTGCGGGTGCACCAGGAGAACCTTACCAGCATCCCTTCAGCTCTCTGTATCATGAGGAGACAGGAGGATGCAGAAGCCTGGGGAGTATCACAGTTCATGGACTACCTCCTGACATCTGCTTTGTACATAAGTCTCTGAAAAACACATCAATGGAACAAAAGGCCAAGAGTAGGCTGAAGTTTCTCTTTTTCCCCTTTTTAAGCTCCTCATGACACAGCAGAGGTTGGGATCCGCTGCCCTCCAGTGCATGCTTGCAAATGTCCTCTCTGCCAGATGACTGCATCTGGAGACCACGAGAATTCTCAAGAAGCATTTAAAAAAAAAAGTGTTATTTTTTGGTGTGTGTCTTATTTAGGATCTAAAATAATTGCTGGGACTTGTTTCTTAATTTTGCTGTATTGTTCTGGCCTCGTCAGAGTATTTCTACATCCAAGTAGAGTGTTCTAGTTTGTTCCATGAAATTGGTTCCCTTCAATCAGCTCTTACTCTTTCATTTTCTATGAATATACACAATGATTATATAGATAACACAATACATATGGTAATGATATGCAAATAGCGTATATATCCCATTTTATATCTGCATTCTGCCTGTAATTGTTATCTTGTGATTCTTACTGACACATCAGAGAACTTTCTAGTATCCACATTAAAAGGAAGAAATGGAGACTTGCTATAGAAAGTATTTTCCCACTGGCTTGTACAGTTCTTTCAAAAATATTTGTCTATATTATTGAACATTTTTGAGCAGGAAATGTATTTGACACTGTGTCATGCCAGGCCCTTGTAAAATCTGATTTGTGGGTTCTTTCAGCTCTGCAGAATCATAATGGGACTTAGCATAAAAAATTAATTTGAGTGGTACAGCCTTTCTCTTAAACAATGATGTGCAATGATGTAAACAATCATTACAATGGTGTTGATATTAAGGCAAACCAGTTCTACAAAGATTTATTAAGAGCAGGAAAAGTAAGCTGTAAAGACATTGCAAATATGAGAGGTTTATTAAAGGGAACTTTTTCATTTACAAATTGAGTAAATGAAAAAGTCTCCATTCTTATTGTGAAGAGGAACCTTAAAAATGCAGATTCTGTGAGTTTATTTAATACCTTAAGAAATCTGGAAAATTTCATTCTTTTCCTTATAAGTGGTAAACTTAGGCATGAGATAATTTCTTACGATTTTGACACTTTATTCCCTGCCGAAAGGCCAAAGCCCAAGACAGGTAACCAGTTAGCTCAGTTTTCCCAAGAAAGCGCCAAGTTTTATGATGTTTGGGAGCTGCTACGTACATCTGTGTGTAGTTCCAAAACGTACCGGGGAGGGAGAGACATTTCTAAGCCTTGGTTCTGCCCCGTCGCTGCTCCGCACTGCGCGCACTCCTGTCGCCCTCAGCCGCTCCTCACCCGCGGCGGGACGGGCGGACCCGGCCTCGGGCTGGGGGAACGGGCGGGACGGGCGCTCTCCGCCCCTCAGGGCGGTGGGACGGGCGCTCTCCGGCCCTCAGGGCGGCGGGACGGGAGGGACGGGCGCTCTCCGGCCCTCGGACTGGAGGAGCGGGAGGGACGGGCGCTCTCCGGCCCTCGGACTGGAGGAGCGGGAGGGCCGGGCGCTCCCCGCCCCTCAGGGCGGTGGGACGGGCGGCCCCGCCCCATCGGCAGCGACCGCGGCGGCGGCGGAGGCGGTGTCGGGGTGGTGAGTGTGGCGAGGCCGGCCGGGGCCGAGGCGCTGCTCTCTGCCGAGCGCCTGCCGGGAGGCGGCTCCCAGCCCGAGCTCGGGGTGGCCGCGTTTGTTGTCCCGCAGAGCGGCCGGGCCGGGCCCGGGGAAGCCCGGCTCTGACCGAGGGGCCTGTGGGTGAGGGCGGGCGGCCTCGGTGCCCGGCAGGGTCCGGCCGCCCCAGCCCCTGCTGCAGGTTGCAAACACGTGTGGGTGGGAGCGTGAGCGCAACACAGAGTGGCTGCATGGTAGAGCTGCTCTACGAGAGGGGAAAAAAAAAAGTAAGAAAAAACCCCACAACCTCATCTCGCTCCTTAATCCGTATGGTACAATTTATTTCTCCGCGCACAATTTGCTCCATTCCTTGTAGATTATGGAAGTAGAAGTGACAAAATGTTGACTGCTGTGATAAATCTTCCTCATACAGAAGGTTTTAAGTTTTAAATTTTAAGTTCAGTGCCTTTGCCCAACTTCCCTGAGTACAGTGATTTTGGCAACACTTCTAAGCCATCTATTGCATATAGGTGGTAGGAAAAAAAGTCCTGGAGAGCCCTCCACTGGTAAGGTGGCACCTGTTCTTTCTCCAAGGCTTTCATCCTCTAGACAATAAGAACAGACAATCCTTCAAAGTCTTGGCAGCATTTAGCCGAGGTATAACATTTTCCAGATTTGAGTATCCTAAAAATATTAAACCCAGTACAAAGATAACATTTGTATTCGCATTATGACATTACTGTGGTGGCAGACAGGCTTTCAGTGCTTGTAGCAATGTTTGTCACTGGGGATCCACAGTAAAATGAAACTATTTGTTATGTGAAAAAATGCAGCAGCTTAAAGGGTCTGAGCAAGTGTTGTTCAAGCTCTCTGACATGGTTTTTTTAGAGATGGAATAACTGAAGCTCAAAAATGAAGGATCAGGAGCATTTGGCCTTTTGTTTCAAAGGAGAAAAATAAATTAATTACAAAATTGTAACTTTTTAAAAATGCCCCAGAGGTTCAGCAGCATCCCAAGGTCAGGGTACTGTACGACCAGGAGGCTGGGCAGCTGTGCAGGGAGCAGAAGATCCTACAACTCAGAGATTGTATCTATGCTGGGACAGTTAAAAAGCACAGCATGAACTAAATGATTGTTAGTGCACAGATGTATTAATCTATTTCACATGACCAAGTCCAATTATATCTTCCAGTCTAATTTAAGTACCAAACCTGTGTTTCAACCCAATTAGCAACCAGAGTGTTGCTACCAGTTGCACTAAAAACATTTACAGCACTGATCTTTCTGTAAGCCTTGCTTATTTCTCAATCCTCTAAAAATATAGAAAGCTGTAGGAGTAGTAATTTGTTATCCCTTTTCCTCTAACATGTTAATTTTCCTGTTTTCTCTATGGATATGCAAGCCTGAATTCCAGGAGGACTCACTACATGAATGCTTCAGAGCACTGAAAATTAGAATAGGATGAAAATAATTCCTAATTTAATTTTTGGGTTTAGCAGACATGACTCTTGGCCAAAATGCTGATGTCTGATTCCAAGACTGAAAAAAGAAACATTAATAAGACTAAGAAAGAAATTAATATTACCTTTTAATTCCCCCACAAAGATCAGTGCATTTTCTGTGTTTGAAGAACCTTACAAATTTTGAAGAGGGTTGAAATGGTGTTAGCAGTAATTCTCTAGCTGCCTGGCATTGTGTAACTTCCCTGATTTGGCAGAAACTTTGTATCCCAATGATAAAAGCTTAGGATAATAGAAACCATCTCATTGATGTGTTTTATACATACTTGGCTGTGCTAAAACATATATGGGGGTAATAATTGAGAGTGCATTCATCGTAAAAGTAATAGGAAATAATTCTCTTGAGCCTGCAGTGTGTCTTTACATGTCATGTAAAATTATACTGGGAATGCGTGTGTTTGGAAAAAAAAAGAGTAGGAGGAGGCCTTGCTTTTTCTTTTTTTTTTTTTTAAGATCAGTGTGTGGGAGTGTATGTGGTTATGTTAAGGAGGCCTTTCCCTTTACATCCTTAAAGTCTAAGTGGAGGTACTCAGTTACAGATCAGAAAAGAGGCATTTTTAGAAATAAAAGAAGTCATAAAAGTACGTTATAGGAGGCTTTTTCATTTAATGCCCAGTAGTCTTGTCTCTTGAGTCTGAACAAATGCTGTTCAGTTTTCACTGGAAAAGTGTCACAAAGATAGAAACAGTGGGAGAAGTGTTACATGCCAGTGCCCGTTCTTACTGAGGCTGTTCAGCAAAGTCATTTCCATAACATAATGGATTATGTTCCTCATAAAGTTTTCACAGTTTCTACATTTCTGTGGTATTAAAGGTAGACATAATTTTTTTCTTCAGGTATTTTAGGCACTTGCAGAGATTGACCACACCACAGTTAACACAGGTCTGCTGCTGCTCGTGCAGTGTGGTGGTTTTGTGTGATTGCCTCGTGTCAAATAATGTTTCTGGTTTTTGTGCACCATGGCACTAATGCTGGGAATATTTACAACTGTCAGTAATTTTTCTCACTTACAAGTTAGTTCTGCATGTAAGGCTTGCATGTTTTTTGTTTAAGTCTTATATTTCTCAATACAAAATGAAACAGGCAAAGATATGCATGTTTGTCTCTCTGCACTAACAACTGCAAGTGTTCACAGTGGGCTGCAAGAGTTGTGCTCTCTTTGGCCTGACCCTGGGGAATAGCACCAATGTCACGGTTATGTTTTTAAGATAGCATCAGCACAAGTAGTTTTTGTAACCTTACACAAGGGGAACAATAGAGACCTTAATAATGTTTTTGATTTTGCATAGTTATTCTCAAATATAATCTTGAATGTGCTAAGTGGTATTATTAGAAACCACTTGAAATGGATTTTCTGGGTTTTTTTTAAGCACATGTATTTCTTCTGTGTCTTTAAGAGTATCTGCTGACTAGTGTCAAAGATTTTCTTGCTGTTTACTTTTATTAGTCCTCAGACTAGCAGAGTTTCTTCTTGTAAATGACATAAATTGTTTACTTGCAGATTGCTAAATGCAATGGGATTATGGGGCTATTCTGAAGGTCTAATTGGCCACAGCACAGTAGTGTGTGAGAAAGACCCTAATTTCAGAAGTGGAACTGAGTTTGTAGCACAGGAGTAAGAGAAAGGCAAAATCAGCATACTTTTGAAACTTATGCATTCAGGCATCTCTGACTGGCCTTTTCTATTAGTTAATAAGTGTAAAGGAACTTTCTTGTTGGACTAAAAGCATTCTTCTTTTACTGTGCTGTTGATTTACGTTTTATCACGAGGCTCGTAGTTAATAAGTGTAAAGGAACTTTCTTGTTGGACTAAAAGCATTCTTCTAATGAAAACATCATCTTTTACTGTGCTGTTGATTTATGTTTTATCACGAGGCTCTCATGGTATTGTTTTAAGAGGCAATGGCATTCCTCTGTTTCTAATACAAATAGTATAGTTTTTTCTTTTTTTTTTGTTCTCTTCCACTTCTCAGGTAGCAAAGCCAGGGGGGAAACAGAAGCTATGTACCGTTTAATGAGCAAATGATGGAAAACAAAGTTAATAATTATTCTGCTGTGGCTACAGTGTTTCTGACATTAGATTTGTGGGTTCCATGTGTCTAACACATTTCAGTCATTGTAGCAATGTAATCTTACATATATGTTTTAAAGTGTCTTCTGGAAATAGTTGCATGAAGTACCAGTTTTTATTTCTTTTTTGATAGTTATTAATTAACAGGACACATTTTCTCCAGTCTGTGAGTGATGTTACTCCACACAAAGTGCCTTTTCTAGCTGTTTTCAGCTGTGGGAGATATTTAATGTTTGCCAAGTCACTGTGACAAAACTTATTGTAGTTACATAAAGTTCATAGGCCTCCCTCTCCAGTGTGACTGGTCATCTTAATTATCCTGATTTCAGCATACCTGATTTGAAACACTTGGAAATGGAGACAAGTTTTAAAGATGTGTAAGTTTTAAAAAATTTGGCTCTTTTTCTATTCTATATTAGCAATTTTAATAGCAATTTTTATTACACAAACATATTTTCACAAGAATTCTAACAGAGACATTGAAGCTTGAATTGCATTTAGTCTTACCTATTATTCAAAGAAAAGAAAGATCAATGTTTTCAAATAAAGGAAACCTTCCTTTGAGATGACACTCGGAAACATTTTTCAGCCCTGTCAATTAGAGAGTTTCATCCTCTATGCTTACATCTGTGACCAGGTAATCATTAAGCAGCACTTACTTAATTGAAACAAAATCACTGGGGGAAGAGGAGCGGATCTTATCTTAAAATTGCTTAGTGGTGTGTAGGAACTCCTTCCTAGAATCTGTAAGTTTTTATTTATTATGCAGGCATGTTTCTTGCTTCACGAAACTTCTGTTGCCGTGGCATTAAGCTAAGAACAGATTTGCTTTCCAGATCCATCAAACATTCCACCTCTGCAGTAAGTATTCCTTCAGCTCCACAGAGAAAACTATTTCTTATTTCATGCAATGTTTTAGAGATGCACTAGTGGATTTAGGTAATGATGAATGAGAATTTAGGACGTTTTTTGTATTTTCTTGTCAGTCTGAATTCAACCTATTATGGAAGCTTTAATGAGAGAACATGTCTATAATTCTGTGTAATTACCGAATTCAGCTGGCAATGGTATATTTGAGAGCATGAAGGAAGGTTTTCATGCTGAATCCAACAATATCATACTTTGTCCTTCTTAACAAAACCCTTCTGTCTGCATGTTTTGATCTTGCAGACAATGCCCTTCAGACACAAAAATGCAAGACGAATTGAAGGCCTTGATAGCAATGTGTGGTAAGTAAGAGGAAAATATCTGCAAATTTCAGAAAATGTCCTTGGCTGATGTATTTTCTTTCAAAAAAAAATAAATTATTGCTAATAATAAAATACATGGCAGTTGCTATTTCTGTTGGAATATATTTAGCACCTGTTTAGAAGCGGTGAATTAAATTCAATTAAAGTTATGATTAATTTTTATTTTTGTGCTTTAAATATTAGGCTTGGGCTTCTATTCATCTATTAAACCATGTAAGACAAGTATAACTCATGGGCATGGTAGCTGCTTTTCAAATTTAAATGTTAATTCTGTTGAATAATGTATTTCAATTACACCTGATTTGTGTTTACCAACCAAGTCAGATTTTTTTAAAGCCATTATACTTGTTTTATAATAAACCCTTATACTTGTTTTATAATTTGGCTCATCATTTTTAATACATCTTTTTCTAGGTATTAAATTGGCCTTACAGCAATATTGCCATCACTGATAAATATGGAATTTTCTTAGTTGGTGAAAAGACTATTTTGGGCTTACCTTAGTTGTATGTATGTGTTGCATTAGTTGTGTGTACATATACACAAGGTGTTTTGATTATTCAGCCTCAAGCTAATTTTTAGCAATTTGTATTTTTGACAGGACTGTGATGATATGTGGGAAGTGTTATGATGGGGAGAGGGTTGTTTTGTTTTGTTTTTTAAATCTTGTTAACATTTCAGTAGGGAGGAAAGAGTAAAATGTAAAGCTGACCTGTGAAGGGAAGAAGGAAAAATTGTTCAAGGATCCTGCAGGCTATTAGAAACAGTTAATAGGCAGCCTGAAACAGTCTGTTGCCTAAAATTACTTAAAAAAATTATAGCAGTCTGAGGTGACTGTGTAGTTTAAATGACACCTTCAACTGACTGAGTTTAATCTTTAGGAGATTTAATGTGCCTGGTATTCAATTTGCGCACATATCCAGAGTAACTATGTGCTTGTATATCTGCACATCTGAGCACACTTCTACCAGAAATGTTATTCTGTGGATGCAGAACATCAATCTTTTCTTGGATGCCCTCTGACTTTTGTGACCATTTACATTATTTCAGCCCTCAGCTCTCCATTCTACTTAAACCTGTTCCTATTGCTGTAAATTTGGCAAACTGAAATACTTTTCTAGTGCTAATGAATAAAAAGATAATTTTATCTGTTATGTTAACTTTAAGATGCTTTTCCTTCCAGGGTTGAATTTACAAAGGTGGCAGCAGATCCCTCAATAGTTAATCTTGGTCAAGGCCTTCCTGATATATCCCCTCCCAGCTACGTTAAAGAAGAGCTGGCAAAGGTTGCAGCAGTTGACAGACTGAACCAGTACACCCGAGGCTTTGTAAGTGTTGTGGAACTCCAGGACCCAGGTTCAGTGGAAAATGTGCCAGAAGGGAAAAAATGAGGTTAAATTAGTTTTATCTATAGATCATAGATATGTCCCAAATTAAGTTCACCTAGTAGCCTTATCTGTTACTAATGGACTTCCTCTATGTAGGCTTCTTCAAGGCAGAATCCTTCAGCAAGAGCGGAATGGTAGAGCAGGTCTGGGAGGTCTCTGAGGAGCTGATTCAGTTTGAAGAGTCTAGGTTATACATTTGCCTCTGACTTTGGTCAGTGGGAACATGAATCAAACAGTACAATGGGAGAATGAGAAAGAAATACTTGATACCACTTGAGACAGCACCTCTAGGATCAAGAAGACATTCACCAACAGAACTTAGTAGGTTTCAGTGGAGACTAGGAAGGGATGAAAACAGGAAGTTTTTGCCCCTAGAATTTATTTATTACACATTCTGAAGCTCACTTGTAGAGTTTCTGTCTTGAGCTGGGTGTGAGTATATGGCATTTATCATTGTCCAAGGCAGGGTATTCCAGGGGACTGTTACTGTTTTGGTATGACCAGTTCGTTGTTTGGTTTGTCTGTCTTCTGTTTTGGGACAAGTTATATTGCCCGAATAAGAATCATGTGCCAGGACTGCTACAAGACCCTAAGGAGTCTATCAAGTATTTTTCTAGCTGACCATGTTTCTGCCCCATGCAACAGGGGCAGAAAAGCATTGGATAGGCCAGTGGTCCAGAAACTGTGTTGGTAGTTATGGTATCACTGTGTGCATATTCCAACATAACTTTTTGCCTCTTCTCTGAGAGTCTGCATGCATTAGGTTTGGGATGTGACTATATGAATAACTATTTTGATCACAAATGCTATTTATCAGCAATATATAAATACAATTAAAAGATTTTCCTTGCACCAAATACTTTTAGTTGAAAGATAAGAAAGGAAACAGAAGGAGCCGAAAGAGACTCAAAAACAGCTGAGGGTAAATTAGTGTCAGAGTATTCCCTTCTCTCCTTCTGTCTCTTGTCCTAGCTAGGCTATAGGCAATCTGGACCCACTCTGAGATGTGATAACATGAAAGAAATTAAAAAGCACCAGACAGAAAAAGAGTTTCTGAGTAGATACAGATAAATTGAAAACAAGCTTTTCTTTCCTAGTGTGCAAAAAGTTTAAACCCTGTTACCTGTTAACAGCTATTAACACTGAGGGCTAATGTTGTATTTTTCTATTCAAAATGTCATCGTTTGATACACATAGTAAAAACCCCAAACACAGGCTTTATACATTGTCAGGCACACTCCAATTACTTTCTTTTTGTTTTGAACAGGGAGGGGCATCCATCACTGGTGAAAGCCTTGTCTCAAGTCTATGAGAAAGTTTGTGGAAGAAAGATTGATCCTCTCACAGATATCCTGGTGACTGTGGGAGCTTACGGATCTCTGTTTAGTACAATACAGGCACTAATTGAAGAGGGAGATGAAGTAAGTTTTTACTGGAAATATTCACATGTACTCACAGACATGAATGTCTTTCCCTTTTTCTTATTTGTCTACTTCTAAATATAAATTAATGTTGGGGCTTCTTTCTGTCCCTATTGGTTTGATTTTTTACAGTTGTACATCTGACTTGCAGTTTCAGAAGCTGTGGTTAGGAGACTATCCTTTGGATGTCTTCCTATCACTCATCAATTTTACAATCACCTTTTTTCACACTTGTGGTATCTGTGGCAGTTTCTTTATCACTGTTACTGTTAGGTGACACAAAACACACTGATTTCTTATTTGAGAAAACATGTGGGATGTCTGCAACAGACAACTAAGGGTGGCACAAAGAATTATTGGTGTTTGGGTAACCATTGTGTATGAGGTGCATGGTGGCAGTGTAGGTAGCAGAAAAGTTTGTTAGTTACCATACTAGCTGTCATGACTCAGCTCTTCACTATTACTGATGTCTGCCTTTTTGACAATGATATAAAAAGTCATTTTACAGGAATATTTCTATCCATAGTGGACAAAACCTTTTTGTATTGTTGTATATTTTGCTTTCAGTGTTTCATTTGTTTCACTGGTATATTGTATTCTCAACTTGCTTTTCTGTTGCTCTAATAGTCCCTTCTCTTTTGTTTGGAATAGTTCTGTCATGCACAGTAAACTCTTTGTTTCTGAACTGATGATTGTCATTTCAGGTAATAATAATAGAGCCATTTTATGACTGTTATGAGCCAATGGTAAAGATGGCGGGTGCAAAGCCTGTTTTTATCCCACTAAGATGTGTGAGTAACTTTTAAAAATTACTAATTATATAAAGTTTCTCATCCATGTTCAATACAGTTTGATGAACACCTATATGATGCTTTTCTGTATAATTTTTTGTAATATCAAATTACATAAAAATGAGATAGATTGCTAGAGTGTAAGTCTGAGACTTGATAATCCAAAAGAGAATATTTTATTACTGTTGGAGAAGGTGCGACAATGTTTCTTATTTGCTTTAATTTGTGCATTCTGAAAGCTGATTAAAACTGCTTTCTTCAGTTTTTAGTGCAAATTATGGAAGGGGGATCCATGTATCAGTGCAATTTCTCTGTCAGTTGGTTTTCAAAAGGTTTGGTTCCTGATCCCTGAAGCAATTCCTACAATGACAGAATACAGTTTCTTTTCCAAAGTATGCTTGCTAAATAAAGACTGATCATGTAGTAGATGTGTTTGCCATACATACAAGAATTACTGTTTCCTTTATTGTTAAATAGGCTATGGGTTAATTGTCAAATTGGTACTGCTGGCATTATGCCACAGCCTGCAAGGATTGTTCTGTATGCCAGCTGTGCCTTGTGCAGCTGGCAGCCTTGCACGGGAAGGGCTGAGGGCCTCTTTGGGCAGCACTGTTGCAGGAACACCATGAAACCAGAACAACACAGAGTGACAAAACCTCCAGGACTGCAGTGGGAGTAGGTGAGACTGTTCCTCTGGAAGTCCATCTTCTAGGGATGTTTCAAATGACAGGGCACCTCCAAGCATTTTCTGTTTCACAACCTTGTTTTGGTCTGGCCCTCTCCCAGTCTTTGCAGCTGTCACAAGGGTAGTGTGGCCATGCTCCATGCTCTCTGTACCAACTGCCCAAACTTCTTAACCATTGGTAATACCTTGGGGATACTTGTGTTGGGTTCTAGGGATGTTTCAAATGACAGGGCACCTCCAAGCATTTTCTGTTTCACACCCTTGTTTTGGTCTGGCCCTCTCCCAGTCATTGCAGCTGTCACAAGGGTAGTGTGACCATGCTGCATGCTCCCTGTTCCAACTGGCCCAAACTTCTTAACCATTGGTAATACATTGGGGATACTTGTGTTGGGCAGTATATAAACTCCAAAGACTCAGTAGTACAGATTTTTATCTCTTTGGCCATTTTCATTAGTTTAAGGAGGAGGAAAAGACCTTGAATGGTGATCAGTCTTTTCAGTCAAGCAAGCACACATTTCCTCTACTGTCTGGCAAGTCTGTAAACTCTCCTGCCATGTGACTGGGGTTTACACACTGTAATAATCAGCATGTGTGCAACAAGATCCTGGAAACCAGTTCCTGCAGGGGCTTTAAGACAGACAGTGGCCAGAGTAGGACAGCCACTGTCACAATCGTTTACCTGTTCCTAGAACAACCTTCTCTTAGGTGAGCAAGATAGATTGGATAGGTTGTCACATATGGCTATGAAAGTATTGGAGAGTGATAAGTTGAGCAGCTCTCTTTAGGCTGCAACTTGTATTAAAGTCACATATAAATTTATTGTGGTTTTGGTTTTTGTGTTTTGTTTTGGTTTTTTTAGAAAAATGATGGAAACTCTGCGTCTAGTGCTGATTGGGTCTTAGATCCTGCTGAACTTGCAAATAAATTTAATTCCAAAACAAAAGCAATTATTCTGAATACCCCACACAACCCGATAGGCAAGGTAAGAGTGCTGCTTTAACACCACTTTAATTTCAAAGAATGCCTTAAATATTGTGTTTAATGTATTGTCCTTTACTTTTCCTGTATCCCAGGTTTTTACCCTGGAAGAGCTCCAAGTAATAGCTGATCTCTGTATTAAACATGACACCCTGTGCATCAGTGATGAGGTGTATGAATGGCTGGTGTATAAAGGGAATAAGCACATTAAAATAGGTACTGATGTTTTGTGGCATTTAGAAGGGTTGTAGAATGATGCTGTGAACTTGTCTCCCAAGGATAATGCTTGCTGGAAGAAGCTCATACTTCAAGCTTTGAAATTTTTCAATGTTTAGGCTCTAAGGAGGAGATCCCCTCTCTTTTCTAAAAATTATTTTAAAGAATAATTTCCAAATAGAATTTCCAAAGATCTTAAGTGGCTTTGGAGCACATATCCATAGAAACCAGTGGGACTGATGCTTGTAATCACATCATCTTATGATCATATGAATTTGCCATCCTTATTCAGTTACTTTGTTGGCCATGACAAGTATAGCTGCTATTACTGTATGTGTATTAGACAGTGCTTTTCTGAAGAACTAATAGAAGGAATGGGAATTAGAACTTCCTTCTCAAAGCTTTGTAGAGATAATAATGAGGGAAATGGACAATGAGGAACACAATTATTTTTGCTCCACTAATTATAAAAAACTAAAAAACTAAAAATAAAAACTAAAAAATAGTATAAAGGTCGTTTTGGAGATAGTGCATGAGCACTGTCCCTCTGAAGAATGGAGACAGGGTTAAATACTGGACATTCAGTTCAGTGCAGTATGTCCTGGAAGTGCAGTATGAAAGCCTGTTAAATCTTCAGGTAGTGTTGCTACAGGGGTAAAGCACCATTGCAAGAACAAACCAGAAAAACAGATTATGATGCCAGGTTCTTGATCTTCTTGTTTTACTTGCTCCTGGTTTCACTGAAGTTAGTGGAATCACTCCCACTGCCTCAGAACAATTTAACCTAGTGCAGATTACTGAACTCCTTTGCCAGTTCTATAATAGCTACAGCTATGTATTTCTGTGAAAATTATTTTCTTTTTCTGATGTCTGAGACAGCCAGTGACACTGAACTGGACAATTCTAGTAAAGGCAGTGCCTGAGTTAATGTTGTATATAGTACTATTACCAGGCATCAGAAATAATCTGTCCTGGGCTGAATGGGTAGCCGTAGATAATATTTTTCTTATGGATAATTGTGCATTTTTGCTGAGGATAATTTCACGTGTAGTTTTCAAACTGTACCTCTTATTTTCTATCTCTTCTTTCTCCTTTCCGTAGATAATATTTTTCTTATGGATAATTGTGCATTTTTGCTGAGGATAAAACATGTAGGTTTCAAACTGTACCTATTATTTTCTGTCTCTTCTTTCTCCTTTGATTAATCCTTACCTTCTTTTCATGCTAAAAAGCACTGGCCCATATATCCTTTCTTATTTGTTACAATTGCTATAATTTTAGAATATTCTCATTGTTTGCTTAAGATGCTGCAGTGAACATACAGCTCTGAGCTAGGGGCAGTGCAGTTGTTCAAATCACATGGAATATGTACCAAATTAATTTTATTTTATGTACAGCTACGTTGCCAGGTATGTGGGAGAGAACAGTAACTATAGGAAGTGCTGGGAAAACATACAGTGTAACTGGCTGGAAGGTAAGAAGAATCAATATAAATGAGTTAAATTATATAGAATGCATTTATTACTCTAAAAACACCTCTGTTTTTATGACCTGTGTTCTGAAAGTTTCTGGCAAATCTTCATGTCTCCAAAATGTGACAATACCATTCAGTTGGAGCAATTACTGATCTTTAACACCCATGTCTTAATTGTCTTCTTGTCTCTTACTTAAAAAACTCTTGTGAGCATAAATTACTAAAAAAACCACCACAGTATGTTGTGTTCAAAATCAAGAAAGATTCTTGGTGAAAACATGGATATTATGATATTTTAACTTAACAGTTTTCCCATCTTTACTTTTAAATATGTATCAGAAAGTTTAAAAAAAAATAAATAAGCAACTCAATTCTTCATCACCTGTGTTCAAAGTGAACCACAGCATATATGATGCAGTAGTGAGCTTTTGTTTTGTATTCAAACTGGCTTTGACACAGGAGCTTAAGAGATGGAAAGGTTCTAAACCAATTTGAAACAGCATTTCTAATAAATGTTCAGTTGGATTTCTAACCCTTGTTATATTAAGAGTTAAAAGTTTGCTCAGTATCCTGAGAGATAGAGATAAGGGAAAATAGAACTGTTGTCTCAAATCTACCATTTTTTAAAGGTATCATACGCCAAGCTTTGTGTAAACCAGCTTTTTCTTAATAATTTATCAAAATAAATTCTTAAAATAGAAAAACTTGAGACATTGGCTAATTTTTAGTATTTCTTATCTTTTAGTAACAGCACTGCCCATAAGTGTAATATATGCATCCTTTCCTCCCTTAGCTTGGTTGGTCCATTGGTCCTGAGTACCTGATCAAGCATTTGCAAGTTGTTCACCAAAATACACTATATACTTGTCCAACTCCACTGCAGGTAGGTACAGACGGGGCAAAGGAGATTGTTTTCTGGTGTAAGAAAGCTGTTGGCCTCATGTAATAAAACAGTAATCACAACAATGAATTTTTAGTTGTCAAGATACATATTCTAGGGTGTAAAAAGAGGAAACAAATTTGATCAGCTCACCAGACATTAAAAAAAAGAAATCAGTCTTGCAGATTGTGTCATCTTGTACCTACAAACTGTGTGTTGCATAAAACATGACAATCTTAATGGTATCCTAGCAAATATAAATGAAAGTTCTGTCTACTAGTGTCTAGTATTCTATGGCACATTATTATCAAACAATTAAATTTAACTTCAATTCAGATTGTAAACCCTTGTGTCCAGGACTCTGACTTCTGTGTATGATTAGTGCCTAGAAAAAGATTGGGTGTTTTGGGTGATGCCACAGCACAAAGTAACGAGCAGATTACAGATGTATCTTGTGTAATTTGTGTGGTGATTTGCTTAATATGGGCCAGGACTGAACAAAAATTCCCATGATTTCAGCAGGAAGTGGGAGTGTCTGTGAGAGTACTGAGTGTTAATGAGTACTTTGGACCTCATGTTTCCAGGAGGCTTTGGCACAAGCATTTTGGGTGGACTACAAGCGCATGGATGACCCAGACTGCTATTTTTACTCCCTGTCTCGAGAGCTGGAGAGCAAGCGTGATCGGATGGCTCAGCTACTGAAAGAGGCTGGACTAAAGCCTGTCATTCCAGATGGAGGATACTTTATGATTGTTGATGTTTCCACCCTAAGTCAGTATAAAGTTTATTAAAGAGCATGTGGAAAGTAAATTTGGTTAATCGGAAAATTCAGCTTCGATTTTAAACTATATTCTTATCTCATATGCACACATATGTGTGCATAATGTTGTCAAGGGTACTAACTGGGATTGAAACTTTCAGTTTCACCTTAGCTGGTAAGGTAGATATTATGAGCTTCAGCAAAGCATTTGTGATCCTAGCTTGTTGTCCATGTTTTGTAAAGGTTTGGCGAGTTTTTAGAGAGGATAAAGGAGGTCGGTAAACCTTCCTATTTTCAAAACATCTATAATTATGAAAATATTTGAGAGCCAGGCACCTGGATAGCCTGAGTTCATACCATTTGTATTTTCCTCTTTCTGGTCTTTTTTCTGTTTGTTTCTTTGTTTTTCCTAATCTGAAGTCACATCCTAAAGGTTCTTTGAAGCATTCTGATCTCTAAACACTCTAAAATCCTACCAAAATTTACAAACCTTTTGAAAATTCAGGCTATGGTAGCTTCAGAGGAAGAATTCACACAGGGGAAGGGATTTTTTAGTTCTACATTTTTTCACTAACTGGTCTAAATGGCATTTGTCATTCAGACAGAAATGTTTAAACACAGAAAGATATCACAATTTAATCATGCGTCAGGAAGTTTTAGGTACCCCAGTTTCACAGATGAAAAAACCCTGCATTTTCAGGGATTATTCCTGCCCATGCAATAACTGCACTCTTCAGTACCCTCCATAGCCCTGATTGCCCAATAGCCCAGACTTCAGGACTTCTTGGAGTATTACATTGGAGGCTTTCTTCTAAGCTACATGTCTGAATTTGCTTTGGATGGAAAACAAGTGCTCAGATCACAAGGAAGGGTTCAATCTGTTGGCCTATTTTGCTTCTTAGAGTATAATTTTAAAATTATATGTTAAAATAACACATATATCTTCATTCTTAAGTATTAACTGTAATAAAATGCTGTTAATGAGTGCCTTCCCACTGGAGTCTAGCAAATCTTACAACATATTTGTTTTACATTTAGATGTGGATCTCTCTGATGTAGATGAGAAACAACCTTATGATTATAAATTTGTCAAATGGATGATAGCATCTAAGGTAAGATGTCTTAGTCATATTCTAGTTTTAGAAATGCTTTTCTATTGAAAGCAAGAGCAGTGCAAGTGCTCTACTACATTATTAAATAATGTAGTAGAGATGTTCCATTCAAAATATTATTTGGTGTTGCTGATAATGGTGTGATTAAAATATTGTAAGTATATTGAAAATGTACACTGTAGGTTGGTGCTACATCCCAGTAGGTTTTTTTTAGGATGCTTAAGTGTTAGTTGTACAAAAGTACCTTTGAAGTATTTTGCCTAAGAAAAGTAATTTTAATTTAGTACAAGCCTAGATAGTGCATACAAAACTGAACCTTGTCTTTCCCTCGTGTTGGGAGAGAGAGTTCTAGAAACAGAATAGTAAAATCATCATGCTTAAACCAGATTTCTTATACACATTTAAATAAACAAATTCTATTCATGTTTTATGTTTCAGAAACTGTCAGCAATTCCTCTTTCAGCATTCTGTGGTCTTGAGACAAAGAAACAGTTTGAAAAATACATACGTTTTTGCTTCATTAAGGTAAATTTGTGTCCTGAAAATCAGTGCGGTACAGGAATCTGCAAGAGACTGATTTACATTTTCCCAGGATCTCTTGCACTGAAAGCTTTTAGGAACATAAAGTTAGTTTAATATAAAATTCAGCACAAAGTATCTTCAATTGTCTTTTTGCTGAGGGACTCTACACTATAAGTGTAGGTGGCATGGCTAGGAAGGGCAATTGGCAGAAAATAACTGGATGGGTAGCCCTTTTAAACTTATTGTATTGATTTTAAAAAACATTCTTGACCAGTGGTGACAGTGAAAATTATTGAGACAGGTAAGCTATCAATTAATGTCATACCTGTAATCCAGAGCAGAGAATAACTGTATAGCAGAGTGTGTGCCCCCTGTCCATTCAGTGTCCAACAGCAAAAAAAAGTGAAGAGGTCACCTTCAAATTTAGCTCACTTGCCTGAAAATACAGAGTTACACATGAGCTCCAAATTACAAAAGAAAACTGAATTGGCTGATTTTTGCCATTTTGTGAGCACCTTCTTTGCACATATTCTTCCCCCTGTTAATCTGTTCTTGAAAGGCTGAAAGGCTTTGGGGACAGGTAGGTAAACTCTGATAAACCCAAAGCCCTAAGTATGTTTCCCAAAAGGCTGAAAGGCTTTGGGGACAGGTAGGTAAACTCTGATAAACCCAAAGCTCTAAGTATTGTTCTACAACAGAGTCAGCATAATGGAACATGTGCAAATCCTGAGCTGTTCTGTACAGAGATCAGAGCCTTAGCCTGAAACAGTAATGAAGGGGAGTTTCTCCTTGTGTTACGTACTTTTTTTGATGAGTTGTAAAGTCTATGGTAAAAAAACTGAGCCAGTAACAATCAGGATGAAGTTACTGGTTGTACCTGTGGCTGGTAAACAGCACTAATGGTTTCAAGTTAGACTGCCTGTATGACTCAGCAGGCTGGAGCCAAGCTACACAGTTTGGAGGGATTATATTTAAGTAGTTCACAGCATAACAAGGTTGCAAGGAGTTTGAAAAATCCCAACTGTACTCACAGGGATTAGGAAAGTGTGCTAGCATGTCTCCAAACCAGAGCTGCTAAGTTACATCACTGCATTAATGCCATGAATTTATGTAAGTATTGCTTTCATTAATTGGGAAAATATGAATGCTGAGATTATATCTTTTAAATATATCTAATAAATATTTTCATGGAATCAGCATTGAATTCTTTGTATAGTCTAGATTTGTACCTAACAACTGTCAATGAAAAACTGGCTGGAAAGATATTTACAGGATGCAACTGAAACAACCAAATATTGATTTGAGATTATAAAATCATGATTGACTCTTTTCAGGAACTCCATACTTGCAGTAATAGTGCTGTTTTTTGTTTTGCAGAAAGACAGCACACTAGATGCAGCTGAAGTAATCCTGAAGAACTGGAATAAACAGACAGGCTGATTTTTCTTATTAACTCTTCCATATAGTATAACTATCTAATAGTAGGGTTTTTTAAATTGGAAATTTAAGAAAAAATTACTTAATACAGTAAAGAATAAACATTGTAAATAACTTTTTATTGATACCTGCTGAGGAGTTAGAACAATGATTTACTGAAGTATGTGTAATGCAACTCAGAGATTATTTTCAGTCTTTTAAAAATAAATTGTTTTTCTCTTAAAGAAACCCCAATGGGATTAATTTTTTTTTACTGAAAGAAAAGATTTATAGGACTCTGTGTAAAATAAATAAATTACATAGGTATTTAAAGCTTACAAGTAAAAAGGGGGAGGTGTTTTTGGTATGGGATAGTATGGGAATTAGAGAGAGACTTAGAAACATCTTAGTTTGTGAAAGCAAATAACCTGCAGTAGAGGAAGATTAAGACCCATAGCTCATATTAGATAATTGCAGTGACTCTCTACATACCTGCCTGCCTTCTCTGTATGCAGAAATTGCATCAGTTTAAATAAAGTGGAAAGTGCTAAGTTACATAATTACTATTTTATTTCCCAAAATAGTTATGTGTGGTGTTCTGAAAGTATTCAGTCTTCAATACAATTATAAAAGTGGCATCTGAAATAGGAATTCTGTTTACTTATGGCTACCTTGTATTTATTACATGGATGAATCTACAAAGCAAAATAGAAAAAACTTGGCTTAACAATCAGATGTGCAGTGACGTAATTATTTGTGTCATTATTTTTCTTTCCATGTTACAACACTGGCAATGTCAGACCAAACTTACTTCAAACTCTTTGGATCAAGGAGGGCCATGGAGGTGGGCCTGATGCTGTTCTGTGGAGCTCAATTAGCTTGGTTTCAAGCACAGTATATAAATTACTTGTTTCACAGGAAGTCAATATGGAGAATTTCTTTCTAGCTACCTCCTTTTCCACTTCTTTCTGCAATCTTTTAATCTGTGGATGGGTTTCCCACACTCACAAGCAATCCAGGTAGGTGACTTCTTAAGGCTGTGTGCTGTGTCCTCTGTGGTCTTTCTATGTTCTTCTCACAGGCTGTCCTGCTTTCAGATGGGATAGAACTAATTTTATTCTCAGTACCTGGTACAGTGCTGTGTTTTGGATTTAGCATGGGAATAATGTTGATAACACACGGATGTTTTGGTTGTTGCTAAGTTGTATTTATCCTAAATCAAGGACTTTTTTGTGTCTCCTACTCTGCCAGTGAGGAGGAGCAAAAAACTAAAAAAAGCTGTGAGGGAACATAGCTGGACAAGTGACCTGAACTGGCCAAAGGGATGTTCACACCGTGGAATGTCATGCCCAGTACATCAGCTGGGGAGCTAGAGGGAAGGGGAAGCCCACCAGGGCTTCAGGAATTGGGTCTGGCATCAGTCAGTGGGTGGTAAGCAACTGCATTGTGCATTACTTGTTTTTCTTTTTTAAAATCCTTTTTATTATCACTATTATTATTTAATATTGTTGTTCTTTTTTACTCCTTTGTCAATTATTAAACTGTTTTTATCTCAAACTACAGGTTTTACTTTTGATTCTTCTCCCCATTCCACCAGTCTGGGGTGGTGGATGAGTGAACAGCTGGGGCTGCTGGTTGCCAGCTGGGCTTAAACAGTGACACAACTCTTATGGTGCACAGCCTGAACAAATTCAGTAACTTCTTTTGCCGCTGTTTTACTCATTCCGTGATCACATTTCTGGACTCTTAACTGAGTTCCATGAGACTGTGACCATGGCCAGGACCTAAAAAAAGGTTTAGAAACTGGCCTTAAAGAAGAGCTGCTAGGTATTTTCAGTAATACTTCTTGGTCTTGGGCTTTTGGGAGTCCAGTAGCAGGGACTTCCATAGTCTTTGTAGCTGTCTTGCTATTCCCCAAATCTCACCAGAAGATGGTTGGCTGGTATTTTGAAAGTGGTGTGTAGTCTTTGTGTAGAAAAATCAATTCAGCAATTAGATTTACTTAGCTGAAATTTCAGAATTAATTTAATTTGAAAATTTCTATATTAAATTCCAGGATAAACTACTTTTTAGACACTAAATTTCTATTTAGTGTCTAAAAAGTAGTTTAACTTAACAAATTTAAAATCTGTTTATGTAAATTGCACTGGGGAGCTGTGGTGTTGCAGGAACTGAGATTGCAACACACTATTGAACTACATGATAAATCAACAAAACATTACAAAGGTCCTTTAGACACACAAATAAGAAGCAGTGATTTGCTTTCATTAATGTACTGTTCATTGTGTTTGCAAAGGACTCTGAATATCCCATTGCATTATTGTTTAAATGGTGCTGGTAATATTAGCAATATAAGAATTGCAGTTTAATTAAACACTTTTATTACTGACAGTAACCAAAGTGAGAAACTTGGTGTGAAATTTTAAGAAACTCCAGAATGACCAATGAAGCAACTTTTAAAATAGCATTATTGTTGTAACTACAGTGATGGGTAAGAAAGCTGGGGACAGCAAGGTAAATTTTGTGCATTATTAAAATGATCTGCTGACAGAGAGTGTTAATAGTGATACTTCCATCTGCCACATCAACCACTTTTTGTCTGCTACTTGAAAAATTGCTGCAGACAAGGAATAAAAAAATCATGATATCTCTATTGTAGTTTTGCAACATTTCTGAAAATTTCTGTCCTTCTGTGGTGAAAATGAAATTCTTTCAATTCTGAGTTAATGAGAATAGGCTTAGGAGGGTTGACAGTGATTGGCAGCAGAACATTGTTTTTGTAGAACAGAATGCAGGAGAAACTAAGACAAACCTTCTATTTCTTTTTTATCCTAAAGAATCTGCTGTCAAGTTTAAACCTACCCATTTTCAACCAGCAAATAGTACTGCAATTGGTAGAGAAGTGCTTGGAGGTTGTGTGATAATTATTTGGACTCAATTTTAGCAAGTATTAAAGAATTTATCAACAACAGGGGATTTCTTCCTTTGAGCTAGTAAATTGAAAAATATTCTTGTTATATAGTGGAGACATGGGCTTACTGGTGTGAAAAGTCCTGTGTATCTGATTAATAAATAGACAGCAAATTTATAACTGTTGAGAGACTTCAATATTGATCACTTTAAAGCACTGAAATAATGGCACTTTCCAAAAATCTATAGGCCCTCCTGTCTGATTTATCCTTCTCTTTCAGCGAGGGTAGGCTCATTCAGAAGGAATAAATTTGTTTCCACTGTTTTATAGCTTGGGCTTGAAAACCAGTTGTTGCTGACATTCTACAGACTAATTTTGAAGATGGATAAACTCTTGGGCAGTGAAAGCCAGGACTCGAGACCAGTGGTGGAGGGCTTTGGTCTTGCAAGGACCAGTTTTTGTGCTTTCTCCTCCCTGATGCTCTCTGCCAGTCTGGATGCGAGGGGGAGAGGCAGGAGGGGAGGTGGTGGCAGCGTGCAGGTGTGCGGTGTAACGAGGGGAGCTGATGGCAGCGTGCAGGTGCGCGGTGTAACGAGGGGAGGTGGTGGCAGCGTGCAGGTGTGCGGTGTAACGAGGGGAGCTGATGGCAGCGTGCAGGTGTGCGGTGTAACGAGGGGAGCTGATAGCAGCGTGCAGGTGTGCGGTGTAACGAGGGGAGCCCCACAAACCTGCGGCCCTCGTGTTTGCTCCATCAGCCCGAGCGCGGCCCGCTTGCCGAGGGCTCCCGAGCCACGGCCCACAGCCGCGGCCCTGCCCACAGCCGCGCCGGGGCCGCTCGTCCTTCCTCGGCCCGGCGCCGAACCACAACAGCTGTGGCGGGCGGGGGCAGGAACTAAACTGCTCCTTTCGGGGAATTGGTCTCTGCTTGGCTTCAGAGCCATGAACGTGTTGTACCCCATGTACTTCTGTGCAAACTCGGGGCAGTTTGGCTCACGCGTGCCTTCTGTGGGAATTCACGAAGCTGCAGGAGTGTGCACAAGAGCAGCTGAACCGGGGCCCGCACGATGGGCACTGTGCAGGGGGTGACTGGGCTTTGTGCAGGGGTCGGTGAGCGGCTGCCCGGGCCGCGGGGAAGGCCCAGCCCAAGCCCCGCACCGCCACCAGGGCGGGACAGCCCCGCGCCTGCGCCCGCCCCTTCGCGGCACCCGTAGGAGCGCTCGGCGGCCCCGCCCGCCGCTCTCGGGTTTAATTACCGGGGCCGCTCGGCCGCGCGCTGTCCGGCCCTGCTGCGGCACCGCCGACATGGCGTCCACCAGCCGGTACGGGGGCGGCCGGGGCGCGGGGGGCCGAGGGGGGAGCGGGAGCGGCTCCGGCATCGCTCCCGTCCGCGGCACAGGCAGAAGATGGCCGCGTCGCCCCCGCTACCGCCTGGGGACTGACCGGCGGCCATCGCCGCCCTTGCCCGGCCCCGGTGCCGCTGTTTTAGCGCGGCTCTCGGGGCGCACGGCGCACCGGCCCCTCTCCGCTGTCCTGTTTGTCGGGGCCGCTCCTCAGGGCGGCGGGCGGTCGGGCCTCAGGGCGCCCGCCCCTGTTCGTGCGGGCCGGGCCGGGCTGAGCGGCCTCTCCGGGGCTGAGCTGGTCGCCTCTGCGCCTTCGTGTCGCTGCCCAGCGCTCCGAGGAGACGCCGAGGTTTTGGGGGGATTTATGTCCTGTGTGCGGAGCTTCTCGCCAGCCACAGCTCGGTGCGAGCGGCGGCTCGGCCTGCTGTGTGCCCCGAGCGCGGCTGTGGCCGGGCCGGGCCTGAGGGGGTACCGAGCCCGTCCCGCCGTGTCCCGCGGCCCGGCAGCCGCAGCTGCGGGCCCGGGTCCCCCTGCTCCGCACTGCCTGGAGCCGGGCTGCAGCTCCCTGGCCTGCCTCCGCCTTATCGGGGCCTGGAAACTGCTTTTAGGCTCCCACCCTAAATCCGTACCGGCGCTAGACTGCAGCGACCAGACGGGTTTCGGGTTCGGAATTCTTTCCTCCTGGAGACATACCCAGCTTTTTCTTTCTAGTCTGAAAGCCCACGGAGCAGAGTGGAGTGACTCTGTAACTCCTGCTAAACCTGTCCTGGGATCTAGGAAGTGCTTCCGAGTAGTCTCGCTGCAGCTCGGGAGTTATTTGCTGAGCTGGGCCTTTACACACGTGCCATGCATTTTCCTTGGGTGTAGGTGGCTTAGTAAATTGAACCCATTGCAAGGAGGACAGCGTATAGCTGTAGGTAGATAAAGCGAGTTAAATTGGCATGGGAAGACGAATTTTTGCAATGTTTCATGAAGGTAAAGTCTGAAACAAAACACGGTTGGTATTCTTTGAGGTATCTGGATTTTTTTTTTTTCCTTTTGCTTGGTGTGTCACTCACTGCGTTTTTTGTAATGCCAAATGTCAGATAATTGTGAAGGCTTTGTCAACAGTGTTGTCATATGAAACTTGTGGCTGGGAATAGAAGGAAAGTAGTCTAAAGAGCTTTAATGTACTGTTTTGAACATAATTTGCATCTGCAGATCTTGTGTTGGCATGCTTTCTGGAGGTTTTAATATTTATAGCTTTGTTGGTTTTCAGTTTTAGTTTCAGGTTGCAGACATTTTTGTGAACAATCAGTGGGTTAAAATGTTCATTTTTTGTATTCTAGACACATTAGAAACATTAAAAAAATGAAAATTAAGATGGGAAGTATAGGTTAGGCTGAATTAATGGCAGAAATAATACTGGAAAATGGGTAACTCAGAGTAATTCTATTGGAAAATTTTTAAAAATTGAATGGATTACAAATTGTTTTTTGGTTCAGTCAGATGAAAGTTAGTAGTCATTATAATTTTTTTGAGATAAACTTCTGTTCTCTTGTGCTTTTAAGCTTGTGCAAAGTAGCTTTGTGGAATACTTGGATCTCGATTGTAAACACTTTTTACTCCAATTTTGAAATAATTTGTTTTAGTAGAATTATGTAACTGTTGTTAATATGAAGTATTTACTTTCGAAACATTTGGTTAGAAGCAATTGGTTGTTATTTTAGTCAGTAACTAAAAGCTGTTGTATTAAATAATGCTTTACAGGAAGTTGTAATTCTTGAAGATCCATGGGTGTGAAAGAGAACTTCTGTTTTCAGAACTTCTTGTCATGTAATTGCCTTAGGAGCTGATTATTTTTTGTTAAGATTTCACTATTATTTGCTTAATTTAAAATGGAATTTATTCTTCAAATACTTTAAAATAAACCAGTGTTTGAATTGGGAATTTTCCAAACATACATGTTGTATGTGCACTGCTTCCCGAGTTAAACACCTGGTAAATAATTCTGTTCTGAGTAGGAGTGAATATGCTCATTTGGAATGAAGAAATTGCCACTAACTTCTTGGGAAACTTCATTTAGCAGTAGTTTGGGTTACACTGCATTTAATCAGGTCTGTTATGTAGATTTTTAATGTTTTGATTTGAAGTGATTTTGGTACAAGATACATGACAAGAAAATTGTAACTTAGGTGATCTGAAGTCTTGATTGTCAAATGTAGTGTTACAGCATTCATATAAAAAGTGCAGCTCAGGTAATCAAGTTAATATTCTGTAATTTAAATCATTAACTGCTGTATTACTGAAGTGTTTTTATCATGAAGGAACTCTTTTGGTATACGGCCTGCTTGTTTAATAGTAATGAATACTTCTCATTTGTTCCTTAGTTTGGATGTGCTTCCAAGGGTGACTTGCCCAAATCATCCAGATTCCATTTTAGTGGAGGATTACAGAGCTGGTGATATGATTTGTTCTGAGTGTGGGCTAGTAGTAGGTAAGTAGTTATTAATATTTTTATAAATTATCATGTAACCTAAATGGTGTGTGTAGGTTTGCACTGTCTTGATGCTCAAGTGTGGGTGGTAGATTTGATGGGGTGTGTGTTTGTTTGTTTTAGTTTTTTTGTGATTGTCTGTTTGCTAAAAGCTTCCTGCTCTGAACACTGTCTTCTGGTAACTTCTTGCACTATGAAAATAATCAAACTCTCTTTAAAGACTGAAAATTTAAAATGTGCTGTGATATGAATTAGAGCATTGTGCTGTCCAGTCCTGTTTTTATTCATGATTCTTCTTTCATTCAGGAAAGTACAAGAGATGTTATAAAAGCCCTCTGTGAAGTAACTTGCTTACAAGAAAAAAAACCCAATGTGCTGTGATATGAATTAGAGCATTGTGCTGTCCAGTCCTGTTTTTATTCATGACTCTTCTTTCATTCAGGAAAGTATAAGAGATGTTATAAAAGCCCTCTGTGAAGTAACTTGCTTATAAGAAAAAAACACAACACAAAACCAAACCCCAACCAACCTCAGTTTCCCAGTAGCTAGAGGTTATCTTCTGTCCTGAAAGATTTATCTTTATATGGTTGTTGGCATATATGTTAATCACTAAGGTTTTAAGACTATCCTAAATTTTCCCACTGGAATTTTGTGGAGCTATTTTACTTGGTTTATCTAGCAGCCACTTCCACAGACTGAACTGTATTTCTAAGTATATGGAATATTTAAAATGAAAGGCATTTTCTTTTGTTTGAACAAGAAAGAGGAAGTTGCCAAACCTGCAGCATATACATTTTTATGTATTGTTTCTAGGATGAGCATCTTACATGCACCTTACTGCCTTTATTCCTTTTATCATGGGAAGCTTTCCATGCTTGTATTATGGTAATCCTTTAAACCTCATTGATTTCTGTTAGTTTGTTTTTGGCCATTATGTGAAAAAAATCCTCCTTGAGGGTACATGTTTGTGTGATTCATTTAGTGCTGATAAATATTTCAAATTGTTTATATCTTTCCTGGATTGTAGTGGTTTTGTTTTGCCTTGCTGAATTAAAAAAAATTCATAAAAAGCTGAAAGTTAAGGAATTTGTGGTGAAGGTAATACTAATTTAGCCAAGGAACTAAAATAAGTCTTTTTATACAAAAGCAAACTTCTACATAAATTGTTAAAGTAAATGTTAAAGCATTTGAACATGAGTACCAGTTTCCTTTAAAATTATGAAACTGTTTAAAACCTCTAAAGGAAGAGTTATAACTGCTTTGTTAAAAATAAAGGGTGGTTTAAATTGCATGAATTCTGATAAAGATCAATCAATAAATTTTCTGGTTAAAAATTCAAAAATCCACAGCAGTATTTCCTACTCAGATATGATAGTAAGCTTCTAAGTTACTGCTTAAAAATACTTTGCTGCATGTTCAGCTCTTTGCATGGCTGTCACAGAGACACAGTAAAAGTTCAGAAAAGTTCATCGTGATCAGTTGATAACTTTTACAATAGTTCTGGTATTGGGAGAAGAGGAAAAGCTTTTCTTCATAAATGTCATTTTTTGGAACTTGGAATTTGTCAGAAGTCTCACTTCATCTACCTTCTGTTACTTAGTCGCAAGCAATTCTTGCCTGAAGAGTTTATCCTCTGTTTTTCCTGAAGTAATAGCATTGGTGAATTCTTCAGTTCAAAATGTTAGCAGTTTCAATGAGCAGGATCATTAGAATATTAGTAAAAACTGTTTCTGAATTGAGTTTTTAATGTGTTTGTAATTGTCCTAGTGCAGTTTACCACCAGCATTACTGGTAGGATAAAAAATGATTTTTAGGTAAGCTTTCTGTGGATTACTCACCAAAAGGCTTTAACAGTGTTGTGCTGATTGTTCTCATTCTGTGTTGCATTCCTTCAGCTATTTAGCTTGCCTCTGTGTCCAATTCCTTAGCTAGGGTATCCAGCAGGTAATTTGGAAAACCAGTTAAATAGGGTGACAATAAGTAATTGAAGAGAAGTGACCAAAGAGAAGTGTGAGCACTAAATATTTTCTCACCTAGTCTGATAAGAAATTTAGGGAAGGTGTAAACCAGATGCAGTCCTTGATGCCTGTTTTCTGGAGATGCTTGTGAAGTAGGGATGTTTCAAAGGAGTGAAGACAAAATTTAGCTTTTATGTGTTCCAAATGCAATTTTTCTGTATTTGTAGCAGATTCCATGAGACACGTTCCCCTTAAGAGACTAACAATTTCATTTCCTGTTTTTGCATAGAGACGTTTTGTTTCAGGGCTTGCATGCGTCATGATCACGTGTGAGCAGAGGCCACTGAAAATATATTTTGGGATGGACTAAAAGTTACTGGGATCTTTCAGTGAAGGGGATCATTTAGAACAGTTAACCCTCCTCATGCAAAAATTACTGTACCTTGTAGCCAAAGAAGTGCTATAGGTTTATTTAAAAATACTGTTTTTTAGAATTTCCAGAGTGCTCCTGGTGTAAATGGTAAATGCTGAATTTGTGCTCTTACTTTACTGCTGTAAAATACATGCTGGTGCGAGTTCACTGTTTGGGTTTTTTTTGTGTTTTTTTTTAGTGTGTGTGCAGCTTAACTGTAGACAGAAGTAACAGTCTTTGACTTAACTAAGAGTATTTGCATTTGATGTTTTCCTTGCTTGCTATGCTAAAGTACTGTAGTTCCTTATTTATGGAAAGGGTGTAAGACTATTTATTATAAGTAGAACTGTGTTGTAGGATAAAATATCTAGTGCATAGATAGTTTTGCAGGTTTGTAATCAATTTTCTGGGAATAGGAGATTAAATCAGTATTATCTTGCATTTATCAGGTCTGCAGTTGAAAGGGTAAAGCAGTAGAAAATTTTGGGGGAGCAGGAGGCCAGGGCACGGAGGACCTGATCTCTTTACCAAGTGGATTCCATACTTTAGGCAGACCTAAAGTTGCAAGTACTACTTTTTAAAGGGATTGTTGAGAAAAATTTTTTTATTAGAATTGTTTTCTACTTACAGGTTTTATTCTTATTCTCAATAAGATTGAAATTTAAGTTAAATCTAGCATGCTGGGGTTTTTTTTTGCACAGTATTTTCCATGTATTCTGAATAAACTGGTGTTTTGCTGTGCAGTATTAAAATAATTTAATCTTGTAATGTCATTATGACTGAAGCTGGTGTTGAGAGTATTATTATTTCAAAATACTGCTACATTCTACTAAAACCTCTCATCTGCCTTTTCATTATTACAGTTTGTGTTCTGTCTTTTCATGGTAATTATTTCCAACTTGTTAACTTTTCCTTCTGCCAATTGCTTTTTGCTTGAAAGGCACTTGGAGACCTAAATTCTAATCATCCATGAAATTTTGATATTAGTCTGGATTGACATGCATTTGAGACTTCACAACTGTGTTGTTTTATTTGCTACGACAAGAATAGTGCATAACCATCCCTACCTTTCTCCAGTCATTCTGAGCTCTGTGCTACAGTAAGGGTTCATGGGCTGGTGGGGGAGTTCATGGGCAGAGTTCTTAGGGCTTAGTTCTGTGTTCATTTAAAACATTCACCATATCTCATTCTCCAGACAGGGCTGGTAGGGGGACAAGGGTGTTGTTCAAGAACAGAAGGTCTAGTAAATCCTCTTTCTTGACAGGCAGATATTTTGCTTACAACCTTATAGGCAGTAAAAAAGGCTGGGAGTCAGCTCATATGTCAGAAGGGACTGAAGAAAGCAGAGTGAAAGTGGAAGACAAAGCACTGAATTTTCTTGATGTAGCAAGGTGATGTGAATTTCAGAGGAGGATAGGAACAAATCTGGTGGCACGTACTGCTGTGTAGTATCTCAGGTATAAGGATTCCTCTTGTTAGGAATACCTTTTGAAAACATTCCTTAAACTTCTATATAGATAGCTTCATTAAATGTTGTCTTTGTGTGCAGGAGTTAAGCAGTGAGGAGTTTATTTTCAGTGTGTAGTAGGTGATTTTCTCTAGCTGGATATGTCTGTCTGCTTCACTAGGCAGGTGTGGCTGAGAGAAACAGTGCTCTTGTGTGGATCTGCTTTGGGCAGCCTTCTTTGGTAAAAAAGCAGAAGTCTGTCTCCAGCTGATGAGGATCCTTGGACACATCAACTCGTTACAGCTTTGAATCAGATTATGACCAATATTCAGACATTTCTGCCGTGCTCTGTGTATACCTGGGTGTTCAGTTGAAGAATTTCAGGGAAAAATAGTCAGTAGTCTGTGGTCAGCACTAAGGCTGTTACAAAAATCTATCTGAGGATTTCTTTGGCTGATACTTCTGACAAGTTTGAGATCGAAATGGTGCATTGTAAATTCAAGTGTGGTCCATGAAGAATAGGTAAGATTTGCCTATACTACAGGTGTTTTTTTTTCCTCTTAGTAGTGTAATAAACAAGTAGGAAGGGGTTTCACAGTTGTCTCTCAACTGGCCAGTTATCTGTCATTGGGGATAAGAGCGGTCCATGAAGAATAGGTAAGATTTGCCTATACTACAGGTGTTTTTTTTTTTTTTCTCTTGGTAGTATAATAAACAAGTAGGAAGGGGTTTCACAATTGTCTCTCAACTGGCCAGTTATCTGTCACTGGGGATAAGATTGGTTTTCAGAAAAAAACAAGCAGCTATTCAGAAGCAAGCAAAGAAACCTTTTATTTCTTCTCAGCTGTTTGTAGCATCCAGTAACTGGGGAAGGTGCTTAAGTACTTCTGACTTGCATCCAGTAGAGGGCAGTTTCCATAGGGGAAAAATATTTTAATATTTGGCTGTATGTTCAGGTTTACTCCTTTCTGCAAGTATTGTCTGTCTTTAAAATAGTAATTCTTAATTCAAAGTATTGCTTAAAAAGTAGGCAAAAAAACTTTAGATATGGATATGTATTAGCAGCCTTTACATGCTTGGTGTTCAGACTACTAAGAAGTGTCTAACAAAAGTTGGTCCTTGGAAAAAAACTCTCTGCTTTCAGAGGAAAGCAATTATAAAGCATACTGATGCTTAAAGATGT